CCAATGTGTGTGTATGTGGGATGAGAGTGGTTGGACCCCATAGCCATTGCCAAATTAAGTCGTCGTCTCGAACTTTCGTCATACTTTGCGTATTCAAAGTTGTTTGTGTATATAATGCTTAATGGATTATGTAAAGTCGTGAACGCTAATCGTAACCTCCGAATAATTAGGCTGCGGAACCATATATAGATCCTTAATGAGTTACCAAGCCACTAGGTACACAAATTACCGTGACAGCAATAAGCTTAACGTAACCATATCGCTTTATAAATGTTTTGGAAATACCATATTTACAGCCATGATGTAGTGACAGGTGGTGAGATATTTTTATCAAGCGATGAGGGATCTCATATTCTCAGGGTCAAACTCTTAATTTAAGAAACGAAAGCGTTGATACAACATAATAGGTCCACACTGCTTTGCCGTTTAAAACCATTGCGCAGGGGGAACACCCACTGCACCAAGGGTTCGTCTTGACACCTTGTATCGAATTGTTCCAACACTCACGAGCATAATTCCTATCGGAAGCCTCTCGCTAATTTGCTCACATGGCTCGACGAGCCACTGAAAAGACTCGCCCCCGTGGACGAAGAACCTCAAGCTATACTCGATGAAGCGGCCAAAGTATTCTACGATGATAACAGTTACCATGACTTTCCGAGTCCCGACTCGAAGTCGTCATTTAAAGTCATACCGCACGGTCTGTAAAAACTTCCCCGAGAACGAGCAATTTGGCTGACCACAAACTTCACACAGCTTGTCATTTCCTATGAGGATAGTGGTACAGTACCCCACAGAGAAACTGCACTTCATAACCGACGAGCTGTGCTTGACCAGGAAACCAAGCTTGTCCATCTGCAAACGCAAGCACCATAGTGACCAAAACAAAGGCGTTTTGAACTAAATTTTGTCGTAATTATGGGTGTAATTGATGGCGGAGCCCGCACATTCTCATGCGTGTGAAATGAGAGCAAATTGCACATTCTGACTCGAATGATACTGAAATCCGTTTTTGCGCTATAGAGATGCAGCTGAGTGAATTCTCACAATCCTTGAGGGTCAAATTTCTTATCTTGAGGGGTGGCAAAAGTCTCGCAGACAATCACACTCAATCTGCTTTGGTAACGAGGGCACGTCGCCTTACAAATTTGACGGCTTCACGCGCCAGTTTCAGCAAGGTAGAAACCAAACAAGAGCGTCATTTTATGCGTGACAATGTCAAGTACAAAGCGCGACGTTGGGTATCCAGATGGTCAATCACGGTTTTGATTTTTTGCTGTTAACAGCTACTTGTCTTGTCGTGGCTATTGGTATAACAACCATTAGATTACGATCTTTGAGGCAAAGGCGGGCATCTTTCGCTAGTGAGATATGAGATGCACCGGGCTTTCCTATATATTCTATTAAAGGTAACAAAATTGTGCGCTTATTTGTACGCGTCAAAGGCGCTTGGGCAATCTTGCCAAAGCAACAACTCAAACATCCCCGAGTATGAGGGTGTATCTATCATGTCAACAGTAACTGATCAACTCTATGCGACACATGTGAATAGGTCTCTTTTTGCTCGCGTAAATTAGTCGGCAGATATTGGCTCTCCCATAGATCACTTCGGAACCTTTCTCGGTTACGGCGGCACATCGATTTTCTTTGTGAAGCTTGGTATGCAGCCGCTTTTGATAAAATCCACTTTGGATGCACTCCATTCAGTGACCCGTCTAAGAGATTTTGGGCAAATTAAGTCGTCCATGGTGGGTTAGTCGCTTAAGACCAGAAACGTTGCTTCGTTTTAACGGAGCAGCTCACACCCGAAGCGCTCGTGAGACAAGATCTCTGGTTCCGCTGTAACATTCTCACGTATTGAGGTCACAACCAAGCCTTATAGTGCATTTGTTGGTCATTCAATAAAGCCGTTTTACCCGGTACAAATTCATTTTTCGTCTGCCTCTGGCATCTGTACGCTTGCTTTGTACATCTTGGCTTTCAGACTCAATTGGCGAATGACCCTTAATCTACTCGAGGAGAAGTCTCAATTTTTCTATATGGAAATATTTTTCATGTCGAATCGTATCGACAACCCCCTTGTCAACAAGACAGAAGTCATTTCGTGGCGGTGTCGAACGGACACGAAAGTTCAATGAATCAGTTATACAAAATCGTGATCTGCGCTATCTTACTAAAACGAATAAGTGGTAGAATTGACGTGAGCACGATTACTTCGCGTGTATGCTTTGGTTGATACTCCTCACCACTTCTTCAACGCATTTCATCTGATAACGGTTAGCTTGTCGCATCTGGCGCCAAGTATTTCGAACAATGTTAGCTTAAACTTTAGCTGTAAAGTGCGGATCTCCATCTAAAACATTGAACACCAGTAAGTCATGTTGACATAAACTGAGGAGTCGATGTCGCTGTCTTCAGCAACATGAGACATCTAACCTTAGACAGTTTACATAGACTGTAATGTTAGTATTACCTTATGCGATTTTTGTGGGCTTTGAGTAAAGCTCATACCAATGCTCCGACAAGTTTTTGCCGAAATCAGCGAACTGGCCAAATACTCTGCTATACGGCAAGCGTTAAACTCGTTGGCACAGTGCGCACGCGCTCATATAAATGTTCACCCATTTATACATGGCTCAGCAAGCGTTTTGCCTGTGCCCATCTGATGTAGCTACCTGAGAGGTTTTTGTGTGCCTCATGTACTATACTGAAGTCGTGGTCCTTGCCAAGGGGTACTGCAATACGCTGCGTATCGATGTCAGAAGCAAACTTTAATTCTTAAAATTAGTGATATTGTCGCGAAACTAACGCTTCTGTTGACCGACATCTGCGGTCAAACCCCCCACGCCGATCAGAGTTTTTTTAGTACAGCACATTTGTCTCAGGCATGATTCACAATACGAGTTGATTTGACGATCCACCACGTCAACAGCGTGGCATGTGACAGAACATGGTCGAAGCGACGTGAACGAGACCATACCAAGTTGACCCAGATTAAACATTACCTGGAAGTTATACTCAGGGAAAGAGAAGAAGAATTCTGCGGATCTGGGATCTCTGTGAGCGCTGTGATGACGACGGTGCTGCGCACAACGATGTACAGATCGTACATGACACGATTGACTCAGAGCCAAGCGGGCGTATCTTGTACTTGACAAGTGCACAATTTATCACATCTTCTAACGAATCTATAGATCTTATTTTCCGTTTTTAGCGTATTGGTAGCTGCGTAAAGTTACTGTAAGAGCGAAAGCATCGCAGATAATATAATGTTGCCAGTCCAGGCCGAGATATGGTCAGCATCTATTGTTGACTCTTCTGTATCACTCCAAAACCCTTGAACAATCTACGCAAAGAAATCAGTGAGGGACCGTGCCGTGTCGGTAAGATTTGCACAATACTCGTGCGTGTTGCCAGTATCACCTTTGTGGTCAGTTGTATCCACTGACCCACAATCCGACTCGACCACTGTATTAGTGAGGGCAGTGGCATATACAGCCGCAGTCGATTCGTTCGACTTTCTAGTACACACATGTCGACAACATTCTTTCGTCTAAAGGGGGGCGGTGACCGGCATCTCACCCGCATATATCTTTCCGTTGGGCAAATCGCCATGCCCACCAACAGTTCATTCGTTTCTTAGTGGTCACTTCCGAGGGCCATTCAATCTGTCTCACACTTCCTGAGTGCTCACCAGTGGTCTCTCCATACGACTTCGTATCTTTTTAAGTCAATTGGATGACATAAATCAATGAAGTGTGGACCATTACCTGCAGCATACGGCTGCCGAGCGCTTTTACCGGTGCATGATGAGTGTGGGTTCATTACTTCCGGGGGGGGGTCACGTATGCCAGGTAAACTACTTTCAATCGTTTTCGAATTAATCCATGGCTCATGCTTCTCAAGCAACGGCATTCCTAAAATCAGGTCATACCATTTTCAGTAACACTTTGCTTCCGCGCGTAGTTGCACGACCCACCAGAGTCTATCAAGACTCTAGATGGATAACCACAACCTTTCACACTCGCTATTACCACGAGTAGACCACTTCGAATTGCGTAATTAACGAAGGACAACGATCCTTCAAGTACTAAGCCCTCGAAAGTGATTCTACTACCACACTCAAAAGAGTTTATAATTACCCCGGTTGACCGCCCTGGATTCACTGAATCCCGGTGTTTTCCGAATGCCTTGTGATGCTCAGAGCGACTACGACAAGACCAAAATTGAGAGACCGTTTCCCATGTGGACAAAACCGGCGGATGTAACCAAATCGCTAACCTCCGTGACTGCGAATTCGCTGCTTACGGACAGCCATTGGTTCTGGATTTCCTGTAGTTTTAGTCACTGCTTCCATCGAATTGATCGATCGACCACGTGCTTGACTTGGCAGCCATCCTCACGCAATGCAATTACAATTGCGTCTTTTAAAACCGTCGAACTCTGGCAAAAGAATTTATTCTTAAGAGAAACAAAAGTGAGTCCTTTGTAAGCTCAATCACCATCACTGCCTCTTACTTGCCAAGTCGTACTATGTGCTATTGTCTTGACGGCACGACAAAGACTTCGCCCGATGTCGAAATGCCACATTAGGCGGAAGAAGCATCGATCCTATAGCCCTTGTCATGTGGCAAAGCAGCCGGGGCGGATGACTTCCCAAATCATCGCCCAATATTTCACATGGCCGTCCACATGCAACGTGGCGAAGGCCACTTGACTGCATTCATCACAAATCTGGGCCATTGCGATAGTGACGTCCATTTCTCGCCGCCAAAACACAAGATTTTTATCTTCGTTTCCGTGAAAGCTTTTTACCTTGGACGTTCCGTGTGTTCCCACCACTTGTGGTGGTGTTGACGGAGAAGGCCTTGGTATGCTCTGGAATAAAATCCTAAAAAGCTCATACGCAGCAAAGCAGCAGAATTTGTCAAGCGTTGAGTTGTTGCTTTTTGATCCAATAAAGCATATCAAAGACTTCGTAACCTCTGACTAAAGCTTGCAGCTTCACCACACACTCCCATTGCAAGTGTGTTTGAAACGGAGAATCCTCCCTATTGATCCGACGGCGAACACCACGTGTGGTATCCACATTATCCATAAATGAATCGATCAAGATGGTTGGCGTGAGAATTACTACAAGTGCTACGAAGTGTAACGAGAATGGCCCGTCCGTTTATACGCAGTTATTTAGTAAGACTCAAATCGGTTAATCCGCTTCACTGCGTATTGCTCGCTTTCAGCGAGCCTTTAATTTAATCGAATGAGGTGGAAAGGTAAAGTGACATTTATCTTGACCAATAAGCCTTAAACCTTCTCAAACTGATAAGTGCCTCCAATTTTAATAGAACAGAATCAGGGTATATCCAACAATGCAAGATATATAGTTAATGTTAATCATGGTGCACACAACATGTGTAATGGAACTGACTCCATTACAAATCGTTCCTGGAAGCAAATATTGCGCCAAGGATTAATGAAAATATTAGGGGAAGAGTAGCATGCAAATATGCTGGTCCACATATTGTGAATGCAACGACTGGTCGTGAAATTGTTACCAGAACATATGTTTTTTGGCACAGTTAGCGACAAAGGAAAAGCTGGTGCAGCTTGAGGACGTCACTTACGATGACCCCCGACGGGACCTCAAGTGTGGTGGTGGTGCAGGGGCTGGGTTACTACATTCGACGGTATTTTTAGCGGAACTATGCTCTTCATCGGTTACGGAGAATTCGGTTGTCGACGACAAGGATTATGTTTTAAGTGCGAAGCCGTCCTCAGGTCTTCGACCCGAATGTGGTGTTCAAAACGAATAAATTGCGAACCAGGTTCAAAGCATGCTGTGGCTACTATCGCGTGAGCATAGTAAGTTTATCGTGGAGTTTTTGCTCTAAAGCAAGCTGCTATTTTTGTGAGGGAGAGCAAGCCCCCTCACAGCGCGCCAAATTTTGTGCGTGCAAATCGAATGGTAAACGGTACACCGTTCAAGCCTATAACAAGTTGAATGCACAGACGGTTCTTGCTCAAACGCCGATTCCGCCTAAGGATGTCACCATCCACCGTATGTCTGGCTGTACACAGGTTGGTATACTTGATATCGTTGATTAATATTAGCAAATCTTGATGAGGGAGGGAACGTACCTTTGACGGCTGTTAGTACACCTTTAGGTATGTTATGGAAGTGGCTTATGATGCCAAAAGGACTACCCAAACCTCAGCAAAAGTCAATTGATTGGTATCCCTTCTGTTTCGACCACTGCGACACTTTGCACAAATCTATTTTCGGCATGTTTTGTTCATTCGAAGAACAAAGATGACATATCTGCCGAAGAAATGCACTTGGAGCACCTCCGTGCAGTGCTGACATGTATGCGTGAACATTCATTGCAAGCGAAATTTGCAAAGTGTATATTAGATGCAAACGAAATACCGATCCGTGGTTGATACATCGGTGACACGACATTCGTGCAGTCCTTGAGAAGCTTAAAGCAATCGTAGAGTGGCTGACACCGAGAAATTAAATATATCCGAGGAAATGGATTGGTTTGTCCAGTTACCCGCATCGCTTCTCGCATAACTACGCGGACATGGTACGCCCGCTGTCAAACTTGCTAGAGAATGTTGTACCATAGAAGTGGTTATCCACTTGTGAAGAAGCATTGGGTCACATCAGAAACAGCTTGATGAAAGCACCATTATTTGCTATAGCAGATGGTACGAAGCCGTATAGCGTGGTATGTGACGCTCAGAGTTTGCAAACGCTTGTGCACTATTGCAAAAGAACTCAGAAGAACACGGAAAATTTACGGCTTCTTTCATATTGATATCTTTTCTTTTTAGATCTTCTCAAACCTTCTGCAGTTT